ACCAGACTACACAGCGCAACAACCCAGAAGACAGAAATATTCATACTCAGCATCGACCTGATGATGGAGGCAGTATGACCTCTGAAACGTTGGTTAACATCGACCAGACTACACAGCGCAACAACCCAGAAGACAGAAATCTTCATACTCTGATGACGGAGGCAGTATGACCTCTGAAACGTTGGTTAACATCGACCAGACTACACAGCGCAACAACCCAGAAGACGGAAATCTTCGTACTCATCGCTGTGAGAACCTCAAGTCTTACATAATTCTATATTCTTTTAAATACATAGTAGAGTATGTAAAGAATTCTCTCTGTCATGTATCATGGGATATTTATTTTTCGGGGAAACAGGATAGGTTGAATAAGTTAATTGAAACTCACAGTTGTAAATTAAATATTACGAAATGGCGTTAACAAATTGCACGCTTTAAGACCTCTGAAGTATCTCACCAAATTCTCCACCTCCCTTAACGCTCGGCTTAAAGTTAATAAATACTGAGTTGCTAACCTCGGCATGCTCTGAGTTATGAGCTGTCTTTCATCATCTGAGCTTTGCTGTTCATGTCAGAGTATTTTACGTTTTTTCTGTGACTCTGAAGAATACAAATTTGATGACGGTCACTATGACGTATTTACATGTATATTCTGAGGGTCACTGCTCACAGGGGCGTATTTCTTTAACACTTAACGTAAATTAATGTCGTATTTCATAACGAGGACGTTCTTCGGAATTAGAAGAAGACTATTAGACGCGTGGAGAGACAGCTCCACGCATTCGCTTCCTAAAATTTACGTCGATGTACGTTTTATGTCTCGAAACTAACGCTTTCTCACAAAAACAACTTCCTTGTTTCACGTCATTGATTTCCTACGAACCGGAAAATTGATGTGGATTCTGCAGTCGCTCTGGTAGATTAGATCACGTTATCTGTCAACCCTTTACATCTCAGTGGTAACTATACGTCCCATCTGCTTCAACAACAAACAATTTCATTTTACATTTATGGGGCTTCGTATAATTCTCCCTATAAGTAGGGGCTAATTCCTTAATCTGCGTTAATCAGTTGATATTATAACGATGAAGTGTTGTGTTTTCTTTGCGGTACGGACTGAATTCTTTTATATTATTTATCGAGCTTCGAATTCAAGGCCATCTCGACACAGGTTTTCCTTGGTTTTCCTCTGTCTTCAAGCAAATGCTGAGATGGTTCCCAAGTTCCAAGTTGCCACTGCAAGCTTCTCATGCAGCCCTCCCGATTTAAATTAATCAAAATTTACCACCC